TCCAAAAAGTAGCAGCTGATTTTCTTATGTTTCTATTTATCACATAAATGTTTCTATCAGTTTTGAAGCTTTATCTGCACAATTTCATTTAGAAATTTGGATTTACCACTCTCGCTCTTAATACAATCGTATATCAATATGACAAAAACTAAATAAGTGTGAAATAATAGCCAGAATGAGCCAGACACCTCCAAAACAAATCTTTTTTTGATGAGTACTGAGCACGAACTACTCAAAAATTTGATACAACAATAACACTGGACCATGTTTTTAAAAAACCGTTGATGATTTCATTTTAACATTCTCTATTCACGTTAATTAATGAAATTTAGATATCTTTAACATGTACTATACTCAAGTAATTATAACAATCTGTCTAAAACAATAAATATTATATATCAGCATCTAATAAAGACCACAAATGTCAAAAACACATTGTCTTGTGGAGAAAAAACCGGAGCTGATGCAGAAATATGAACTGCAGATTTGATGAAGCATGAATGCATGCAGATCAGCATGAAAACGCACAAAGAAACAAAATATTACAGACATTAAAATTACACAGACCAGTGTAATCTACGAGTTTTTTACTGCCAAATTGCATAAATGTGTCATTGGATATTTTGATTCAAAGAATGTTCCCTTTGAAATTCCCATAAACAACACTATGAAAAATACCCATGTAATTTGAATTTTCGAAGCCTATATTTGGATAATTCAAATTTGGAACTGCAAGTTGAAGTTATATTCAAGTCGCCTGTACAACGAGTTTCTCTGTTCTCATATTGTAAGAAAGCCCAAGGATGTCACTAAAGCAGGATGAAGTGTCATCCCTTGCTTTTGTCAATAGCCTGTGCTCCTTTCTCCTTCCGTCCACCAAAGAAGTTCTTTTGCACATCAGTTAGGAGGAAGCCTTGTGCATCACCTCTAACCACCATAGAGGAACTTTCCGAAGGTTAGTTAGATTTTAGATTTCTTCAGAGCATCTTTCAGGTTCCTTTCAAATTCACCATGTCTAAGCAGGGAACGTACAACAGCTTAGATAAGGAAATTGAAGTGGAAAGAGTAATTAAGAAGAGTGAAAGGAATATTGAATACAGCCCAACAGTTCGTCACTGTTCGTTAAAAACAACAGCAAAGTCATGGAAAATGTAATGGATAGTTTAAGGTAAAATTCACTTGCCACTGTACTTTTGGTTTCAATTATGAATTTTACGATTGCTTCTCTTAATTCGAAATTTTTTCCATTCCCCTTGGGAAGAGTGGGTGAATTAATAGAGCCAACTATCATATTATTTCACTGTAATACCCATGCAGTTTGGTTTTAATATCCTAGTTTCCCAGCCCTAAACTTCAGTTTTGAGTTGAAGTATTTAAAACCGATCCATTTCAGTCACCACTTTAGGATTGACATGATTCAAAACCAATTATATTTTCTATAATTAACATAAAATTCTAATTGAAGTGTTAAAGAGTCAAAGTTCAATACTTGAAGTAGCAAAAAGTGGATATTTTCTCAGATGTAGTCATCTGTGCTTTTCTTCCAAAGTTCCAAAACACTAAGTATAAAACACAAATTTTCTTTCTTTCTCTGTTTGCTTTTGAGATATCACAGTTAAGCAAAGAGAAATAAATCTGCTGACATCATTAAAGACAAATTGTGAGTTCCTGATTTTGTTCATACCATAGAGCTTTTGAAAATATTACCTCCTAATATACTATATCATTTTGAGTATTTAACCATTTACGAAGAGCAATCAAATTACACTCTGTGTTCAAACTTTAGATGGAATAAAAACAAAATTGAATGTTTCATACAAATCAGAAAGATTAAGTTATTGTAATTTATATTATCTTTTTACCATTGTTTTGCTTCATTTCATAATTTTCAAACTTCTGAACTCTGGTAATCCACCAACTATATTGGAACAACCTTTTCATGAAGTTCACATTTAATACCTTCCCATTCAGGAAAAACAACATAACACCATATTGATTAAAAATACTTGTGGAATATTCTCAAAATATCTTTAAAACTATACCACATACTTTGGTTTTACTCAAGCAACAGACTGCCACCCGCTAAGAATAAATTTCACAGCATATTTGTATGCCCTCTGCATTAGCCATTGAAAAAAATCCCAAAAATGAAGACACTTTTTAAAAACAGGATTGCATTCACATAAATATGTTAGAATGGTTTACAGTACATGGCATTCTCAGAAAATAAATGGAGGTAATTTTATTTAAATTGATTATGTAACAAAGCTGCTTAGTTTGGTTATCTCAAGTCTGCTGCAATACTTGCAAGAAGTCCACTCCAATACATTGGATATGTGTTCGATGAATTTACATACATTTTAAAGTTGATTGTCAAATGCAACAAATTATTAAAGTTTAAAAATGAATTCCTCTATAGTGCCATAATTCACAAATACTATGAGTTACATAAGAAGACTTCTGAGCAAGTGAACAAATGCAATGCTTTCAGAATTCCATTTAACCTTAACAACATGGCTACTAACAAAATATCAATCTTGCAACATTTCTTAAAGCCTCTGAAAAAGTTTGGAATGATGATCTCCCACTCACCAACAGCAACAAACTCTTCAAGCACTGAATTTGAAGACAAATGCACCGGTTTTAACAAATTTCTTCTAATAACCAAGATCTTCCTGGCTATAACAGAAGAAAAATATCAATATAACGAGGAATGTATTATTCAAATATTTATAAATCATAACACATGCAGAACCCTAAATCTCCATGCAACATAATTTGAAGACACCACATGCACTATTCAAATATAAGTTTGAAAAAACAAACTAATAAACAGAATCATACAAATTTGTTGCAACCATCATTTTTTTATAAAAGCAAAATTACTAAACAAAAACAAACAAACATATCAAATTAGAAGTGAAGTAAACAATCAACAGAATATGCAATTTTTCTGTGGCATTTTAAATTCAATAGGGTCGTTCTGCACGATGTGCTGTGCTGCATCTCATCGCATTTTTATTTGTTTGGTTTTTGGCATTTTAAAGAATGTGAAAGCTAACAATACACTGATCATTGAGCTAGTCAGACTCAGGGTTGGTTTATGTACACTGCAAAGCCCAAAGGTCAGTGCATAGTTAACAACTCAAATTGGTGGCAAAAGTGTTGACTGTGCCCACAAGAATTTTGGCATACAAATGTGCCAGAATTTTGCAATTTTCAAATTCAATCCAATTGTATGGGGATTTCCTTTGCATGCTCAAATCCAAAGAAAACAGTTGTACAGTACAGAAGTACAAAAACAATATGCTGCAGCTGAAGTAAATTTTAATATTTTTCTTTATTATACAATTCAAATGTTTGTTTTGTTTTCCATATAAATTTTTATTTTGATGTTCATAAATATCATTTAGATACATGCAGGAAAGTTATTTGATGACCAGAAAGGAATTTTATTTGTTATGAAACATTCTGTTCTGTAATTTTCAAAACGTGCTGCTGTACATTTTTACCAATAATGAAGATACTGATTTTTCCTTGGAGTTCATTGATGTTAATATTACTATTATTATTATTACTATTATTATTATTATTAATATTATTAGCGTTTCTGCTATTTATGACCACGCTACACATTATCTTCCAAGGCACCAGATATGAAAGTGTGCAAATAAGAAGACCAGCTTCTTACAGCTGTATCCCTTCATAAGGCAAAGTTGTTATGCCTTGAATAATGAGGTGACAGGTTGATAATGAGAATTGAAAGGACAATTGCAAATGAAACTATGCCTGCACAAGACTCTAAACTGCAGCCTCTTCAATGGAGACAACAGCTGCTGCACCCGTCTGTGCCACACTGCCAGCTTATTATTATATTCAAACTTCCTTACAGGCGAGATAGACCCACAAATATAAATTTTCTTCATTTCATAGGTCACCCATTTTTGTGTATTAGAAATAAATAAATAGCTAGCCAGACAAATGCAAAGAAGTATATGTGGTGGTGTAATTATATTTTAATAGATGTAAATATAAGGAGATTCTAAAAGGATTGCAATACAAACCCATAACTCAAAATCTATATAAATGTAAGAGAGACAATCATTTCACAATTTTTTGTAATTGTTTTAAAAATTGTTTAATTTTAATTTCTTAACAATTTATAGTTAATTTTAAGTAAATAGATTTTCTGTGAAATTTAATCTAAACACTTAACATTATAAGAATGTTTACAAGTGGAAAATACCAGGCATATAATGCTGTACACTTCAGGGACTGGCTTTTCAAAGGTGGGATTCAGTATAAAGCTATTTTCACTTTCAAAACTATGATTAAAACTATGACCTGTGAAACATTTCCACAGGTCCCATTATTGTAAATGATATTAGAAAGAGCAGTAGCAGATATTTTCATGTATTGCTCACATGTATTTTGTTTTTTCTGATAAGTTTATGATTAGTTGATAACCACCCCTTTTCTAAAGCACCACTGAAGAGGAATGTACATACAGAATCAACTGTCATATCTGTTCAAATAAAGCGTTAGATACTTACAAGAGCTAACTTTGTGCGCTTTTGGAAGATACAGGTAAAAGATTCTGTTGGATATCATTCCATTATTATAAGAGCAATTTTAATTGTATTTAAAGACATAAGTTCTTTTTACACCATTAAAACAGCCAGTCATCTCATCCTCGAATGCTAATTAACAATAATTCTTCTGTTGATTTTCTTCGAACTGAAACAATACAAATTTCTTATGATGGTAGCAATATTTATTCAATATACTAACAAAAACTTTTAAATAATGCAATTTTATGCATTAGTAATTAACGGAAATGAGCACATGGGCTGCACGTTCTGCTACAAGCTTTGAGAAGCAAGTATTCCATTTACTTTTCCTCATCAAATTACGAAGGAAATTGTACAACCGACAATAACAATTGAAAAATCTCTAAAATTTAAAGTATCCTTCACACAATACACAATGCTAAAACTCACCCTGAATAAAACATTGGTGGAGCAGTTTTGCAAATGGTGTTCTTACTCTTCATAACAAACCATGTTTCAATATTTTTCTGCAACACATAATAAAATCTTCAATAAACATGGCAGAGAAATATGATCAAACAATCAATCCACTTTTTTTATGCAGATTTGAAGCTTTCTTTTCATCAAAATTTTTGGCTAACCTACTTGTTATTCACGACCGGCTTCACAATTCCGTCATTTCAAACTGAAACGATAACATTACACTTGATTACACTCCTGCATGGACCCGAGGTTCCACGTGGGTTCCGCATCTTTCCATAACAAACCAAATTCATCAGCTCGTTACGTCCAACACTACGCTAGCCCAAAGAGTACACCAGAGAGTATATTACACAGAGTACACACTGCGCTAGCCATGTGTTTGCCATATAATGCTAGAACAACCGTGATGAAAATAACATCTTGAATTACGAGAAAAAATTAGAAACGACGAGTTAGTTAGAAGCAATCGCACAGATTACTCGCCTCAGCTCAATGGTTCACTGTTGTGCAATGCAGGTGTGATGCCTTTATAATACTCTACTACTCTATTTAATAGTCCAACAAACACGGTGTTCCAAAAGCAATGTACAACGAACATGCCACATGGAGGCATGACCATTGCGGAAATAACAGTAAGATTACTTTAATATACGGCAGGAAGTGGTGCTTTTTGGCGCCAAAAACGTGCGAATTCACGCAAAGAGAGTCCAGCTGCTTACAAGTTGGCCAACACGAGCAACACCAAGCTGGAAATAAACAAACTATTTCCTTTATTTTCAATCTTGTGATATTCTGCAATCAATTGTTTTATTTATTTATTACTCTTTATTATTAATTTATTTATTACCCTTTATTAGTTATTACTCTTTATTATTTATTAATTTACTATACATTTTACACCAACATATATGTCATTGCACATCAAATCGCACGCTCACAATCCCCATTTTGAGCGACTTGCCAAATTTTGGGACGCATAAGGTTGAAAATAGGAGGAACTTATTTTTTCTTCTTCTTTTTTCTCTAATCCGACTCCTTTCACAAATAGTATTTCCTTTTTTGCTTTGGAAGAATATTGCTCTTGCTAATGTTTAAACATGTTTCACTCATCTATTATTACATTTTCCTCCAGAAAAACACAATTACCCCTTTACCCCTAAATTACGACCCTCAAATTATGAAACTTTTTTGCACAAACATACGCAAAGCAGATGAAGCGCAAGTATAGCGAAACGCTTTTTTAGAAGGAAAATGCAAAAGAAACGATCCAGACGGACTCGTCCGAAAGAAAAATGTAGTGTGTTTTAATAGACCTCAAAGGCGACATATTTACTAGTTATTTGCGATATTAGTATCGTAATACATCTTATTACAATACGAGATTGGAAAATTGTCAAACGAGTCCGTTAGGAGAGTTCGGTAACCAATTGAGTATTGTAATCAGATGTTACGACACGAATATCGTACGTTTTATCAACACCACCTAGATACTATATCTAGGTGGTGTTGATTTTATCCACTTTGTAAAAATTCGTTAGATTTAAGATTAAAATTTTCATTTCGTATTGCAATGAGTCATTCAGACTCACTGCACAGCTCGGCCCTCGCGTCATGCTGAATCAACATATTTCTAGGCAAAGAGTGCATCTTTGCACATTCGCCACGCGCAGCTGCGTGCGCGCCGGCCGAGAATTTCAAGGCAGCGTCCGTCCCCGAAAGGCACCATTCCTCCCGTTTGTATAGCATAGGTGACGGAAACCCAAAACTGTTACATTAAGAGGCGAGAACAGCACTATAAATTGACTAAGCGACTTAACCAGTTGCAAAGATGGACTAGCCCATGAGCTGTGCGACCGTGATAGATGGGCACTTTTCGAGAGGGGTAGGAACGGAAATTCGCAGGAGCGCAAGGCGCTAGAGGTGGCCACACTTAGAAAAAGACTGTTGAGGCGAGCGGTTGGCTCAGAGAGGTTGGCTTTCCTTTCGAGATTCACGACGATTATAGCTATACGGAAGCTGTTACGATAGTCTTAGCCATTATCGTTCCCGCATCGGAAGCGTCGCGGATGCATGTAGACGCGTTAGCGTAAACACCCACAAAGTACACAAACGGGTGTGCAGCCTAAATATCGGGCTGCCAAAATAAAGCGCGGTCAGGCGACGTATATGACATGTGACGCTCCTCGAAAGCGCTGTTCCGATCCCGCGGACGAGCCGTGGGAAGATCTCTGCCCAACCAGGCGAACGTGTTTTGCCGACTTAAGATGTTCATGGTTCCCAATGGGTCAACTGCTGCCACCCGGCTATATTGACGTGTAATCCTTCGAGTTGACGTATCAGAAATTATTCATTATATTCCGTAAAGTGTTAACTTTTCAACAAGTTAATAGACAGAGTAAAGCCCTGAAGAATATTATGTAAAAGAGGGACAATCAAACTACTATTACTAAAAGAGGACTTATAAACGTGTCCACGCCATTTTGGTCGGCGTGGCCACACAAGGATAAATGTGCATTATTTAGTAGCTTGAGAAGCAAAATCAATCCATTCGAGCCCAGGGCGCTCATCTGCAGATGTCTCATGGCCGGTACCGAAGATTCACAGATAGCAGTAGCTTGGCCTCCTAATAAATTTATGCGCGTGTCCTTGGTATCTGGAAACACCTGCGCACTTCAATGTGACGGAGCTACTCCCCTTGATGTGGATTCACAGGTGGACGTGCAAAATTGTGTCGCGTGGCATTACAGTATTCACATTTTCCCCTTTAAAGTGGCGAACGTTCTAACAAGGAGAACAATGGAAACGCGCATGTGTACACATTTCGAATGAGGAATTGCAGTTCAGACTTAGAATAGAAATAGAAGCAAATGCTGCTATAGATCTTTGTTACCATACAAATCCAAAAAAAATATTGAGCGTGAGTATCAATATTTTAAGATTGTGTGAAACAAAAAACCTTCATTTCATGTAGAGAAAAAGGTTTAATGGCCTTACTTGTTTCCGGCAAGTAAGAAAAGGAAAAACCGAGTAGTCTTATGGACACACTTTCTACTGCTGAAGAGTATTGTATTAAGTTAAGGATAATATTGATGTAATTAAGTTAGCATTTTTTAAAAAAGGAAAAAAGTTGAAGTATATAAATTAAAAAGTCAAACATTTAAAAGAAGACATACATAAATTTTTAATAGAAGCTGACAATGATTAATTATTTATGATAAGGTACTTCATAATTGGTATATTTGCGCTTGCCTAGAGAGTGAGTTGAAAGAATCTTAAAATATAGTGATATTAGAGGATAGACCAAACATGTGTGATTTTAATGTAATATACCAAACATAAGACTTTAATTGGAGAGAATTTGTAATTACTGAAGAGAATTATAAAGAGTTTTAATGTTAGAAAACATTTCGTATATATTTTCGCGCTGGCCGCTAAAAGTATCAATTTTGCTCGTTTCTTTGTATTTTTAACAAAAATTGGAAAATATACGTTGCCACTGTCGGAATAATACTTTGGGAGGGCATTCCGAAGCTAACTGCAAGTATTTGCGTTTGAGAACCTGAAAGATTTAAGATAGGTTTTTGACGATGTTCCGTTCATTACTGATAGAAAATTTCAGGTGTTATATGATATGCTGAAGAAAACAGGTGATGGAAGGTCGTTCTTCTGTTTGTGAAGGGTATGTGAAATCGTCAGTAGAAAACAAGAAACAAATAGCTAGAAAATTATGGGGAAATAGTTGTCAAATACTATATTAAATTGTCAGCTTCAACATCATTCAAGGAATAGCAATTCTGAATTGCAAAGAAATTGTTGTTAATGTGTATTAATAATATAAACATTATTATTATTGTATTATTTTGAGAAAAATCTTAACAAAGTATTTTTATAATAATTATTTGAATAATATTGTTATTCCATTATAGACTGGAATAGTGCCGAGTGTCAGAATAACTACTCGTATGCATTCCGAAAAGTGTGGTAATGAACTTCATTACACACTAGAAGCGTAAAGTATTACTTACGAAACTGATTATAATAGCATAATGTTTCACATTACCTAACCAAAGTGGATAAAATAACAAATGACGGAATTCGGGAGAGTAGTGTTTATTTACTTATTACGCCGGAACTGAGGAACTATGAAAACAACAAACGGACCGGAGTAAATAAAGAAAGGAAGGACCGTGAAATAAAAAATATTTCTTCTGATGAACGATCACTACATTTGATTAATAAATACGCCTTAGATAGAAATGAAATACACAGTTACTTCTTTAATTTACAATTATTAATTAGTTGCAACAGAATTGATAAGAAATTTTTCGCCATGCGTATATGCTAAACGAATCGACCATTAATGCTTTAACAACGCCGCGTTGCCAACAACGGGCTGTAGACAGCAGCTACTGCCACCGCCGCGGCACCGGGTAGCGTTATTAATTTCTAATTTTTTAAGGTTAAACTACTCATTTAATTGACGCATTTGTGTTGATAAATCAACATAAACATAATTATTTTTCGCACCTATTGCTCTACGCTTTGTAATGAGTAGGGAGAGGATTTCTATGATTTTTGCATATTTTTGTGCGTTGCTTCATGGCAATAGCTAAATGACATTTCTTGACATTTGATTAGCATTGGATGCTATGTAAACTAACATGTTAGTGCATATTTGGCCTATTTTCCTGTTGGTGCATATTCGTGTAATTACAGGCGCATATTTTGCATAGTTCGTTAAAATAGAGACATCTCTAAAACGTTTTATCTAATATATAGAAGACAAAGTTTGTTAGGTCGTGATTAATGCGCTCTCGTACAGTTCATTCGATTGCAATAAAAGTTCGTCAACTTTTTGCTTGCACTTCCGGGAAGAATATAGGCATAGTACGATGGGAATGTGCACATGCCTGCATACATAGAGGGGCGTTGATGATTCTATGTAGACTCAAGAGACCTGATCAGGGCGCTTTACGCCAGTGCTCTGTACGCAACCCGCCGCACACTGAAGTACGATTATTAAGACGTCTTTATTGCGTATTATTTCCGTGCGTGTGTGAAATTTTTCCTGGGAGAGACAGATACAAAGAGAGAAAGAGGAAGACAGAGACGCAGAGAGAGAAACAAAGAGAAACAGAGGGTCAGAGACAGAGAGGCAGAGAGAGACAGAACCACATTCGCGAGAAAGTCTTCCGTCTATTGAAAGTTTTGCAGAGCGCAGTATACAACGTGATTGACAATTACGTGACTAATAACATGTGAAGTCTAACACATTGTAATAGCGAAGCACTGCTGAGTCCACTAGTATTTTCATAGAATATACTATTTATTTCTGATCGTTCATTGATTATATTGAGCATATCAATATTTGCGTTTTTTTCTATAGACGATAAAATACTTGTGCTCATGTAGGATATTTCTTTATATATATAGGAAGAAATACAATGTACTTCACTAATGTGAATATTTACTTTAATTATTTCTCCCACGAAGTAAGGTAGATTGTATTATGTTGGCACAAAATATATCTTTTCATTTCAAGTTTGATTCTTCTGAAGTTTATCAAGGAACTTTTATACAGGAGATTAAGTATTGTTAATGTTTAGTGCACATTTAAGAATTTTGAGGTCATAAATGCACATTTTTAATGCCTATTTCAAGATTTTTAGAACATTAAAATCCTCTCCCTAGTGAGTTTTATATTTTCTTTTACCGGGAACTCGGTTAGATAAGGGACAGAGTGCAGGCTAAGATAAGTCACTTTCAATGTCTCACTATGAAATGCTTATTTTAACAGTGTTGTTTTAGAAGATTAGGTAATTATTTTACGTATAGGTTTACATATTTTTGGGGTTTCAGGTGTAGCCGTTAGGGTCTACATTGTCTCAAAGTGCATTAGTCTATAACAAAGCAAAGCCAAATTAGCTTACCACAATCGTGGCCGGTGAAAAATTATGCGAATGAGAGTTGCAAATTCGTCGACTTTATGAAAGCTAAAATTAAGCCTCTGTTTACAGCACACGCAGATTTATGCCAAGTGCAAGCGGGTGCTGCGTGGTTGGATACAGTAATTGTCTTCTGATCTTGCGGCTGGTGTCCGAACAAACTGGAGGTTGCAGTTCCATCGAATGACGGAAATGTAATTTCCAAAATTCGGAAAACTAATGTGTAATACTAATGTGTAAAATGTAACTAATGTGTAAAATGTAAACAATTTACGTAAATTAAACTAAGTTTATTAATAGTCTGTATTGAAATATTACAATTTTTTGTGTACTGTCCGTGCCAAGTATATTCACCTCCCGCGCACATACTTCTGGCTTTGATTCCCAGTGGTCACTCAAGTTTTTGTATTAGTTCTGCATTGAGACACTAGACGGTAATAGGATTCATACAAAAAGACACGCTTTCCAAAAAGCGGTGATCGTACTCCAGCACTTAGCAACAAGCGCTATTGTTTGGACAGGTTTTATGCAAATAAAAATATTTGATTTCAAAAACTTCACTATTCATCCAAGTATTGCAATAATGAAAGACCTTCTACACTCATTCGCATCCACAACAACGTTCGCAGACTGCTGGCAGACTAGCTGCCGAGAGGCCGCGACTGAGTACACGCCGTGAGAGATAGGAAGGAATTTCCCCCCAGAACGGCCAAATTTACACAAAGGTCTCATCAAATGTACGATTTGAATCAACAAACCTCATATCAAAAGAAAAAATCTTACAATGCTTGTCCTTAAATAAAAATTATGTGTACAAAAAAATCCGAATACTTGCATGAAAATGAAAATACAACACTCACCCGCGAGAAGAGTCCAGGAGATGATTTTACTTTCCTGTACAGGGAAGTCATTTCTGGTATAGGGAAAGTTACGTAATGCTGTGGGAAATCAAAATCAAAATTTCTACGGAAATACACGTTTTGCGGCCCTCTGAATCCGAAAAAAAGTTGTTGTTTTTTTCAAAACGTCTGTCTGCCTGTCCGTCTATCCGTCCGTCTGTCAACACTACTAGCGCCTAAGTAATATGTAGGATATTTTCCACATTAAAGGAAACCCTGTCCATCTGGCTCGAGTCAAAGTTTTGGGATTTTGAAAATAAAATCTTTAAAATTTGGGGGTACTTTACATTAAGACCCCCGGGCCTCTTCAAAATTTTCTCAAAACGACCTCAAATTTCTTCTTTAAATTTCTTGTAAGAATAGAGTAAAGTACCCTTATAAATTTGGCATAGGTCTTACTTTACGAGTTTATCTCTGAATTTTCGATAATTTCAAATTTTCAAAGTTTTTCGATCATCTACCTACAACTAGAAAATTAAAGATAAAGATTTTTCTATCAAATAAAATTTCTTCTCAATGAAGAAAGTGTTCCGTGTTGGGTGACTGCTCTTCTCTGTGCAGAAGTAGAAAATGTAAAAAAAAAAATGTTTTTCATATCTTTAACCATAGAAGCGCCGTGTCATTATTGCACGGCAATAATTGGGATAGTCTCAGGAGTGAAATGAAGATAACACACCGAGAAAGGTTTTATCAGGGGTCCGAATTTAAAAGGATTCTCATAGAAGATGTGCTGATATTTCTAACATTAATATATTTTATTTATTCGATATCTTTATTTTAATGTTACTATTTTAAACCCACGATCAAAATAGTTTCACTTATTAATAGAATGAGAACAATATTTAAAATATTGTAAAGGGAATTTTGAAACCTAATAATTATCTTTATTGGAAATGCAAAAGAACGAATTGTTATAAAACCAAATAATGCTCCCTCTTTGTTTCGATATTTTAACGAGTTACAAAATTTTTTAAATTTGATAAATTATAACGATATACCAGTTATTTTATTTTAACATGAAATCAAGAACGCACTTTTCGACTTTTCCATACTTCGACAGAATGTGAACAAGTCTCGTCCAGGCACGTGCAGAACACTCCCGGAAACTGGTATCTCTACTTTGCATAGTACGCGTAGTAAAATGATTCGTTGTGAATCACACGGTGCCATGGACCGCTTCTTGCATCAAACTCGCATGACCTGTAATTTATGCGCTCATCCTCAGAAGAAAATAACTACTTGGATTGCACTTCGTATTCGAGTGGTAGAGCTTCCTTGGGGGTTGGAGAAACAGGAATGTCTGCACGCGAATATAAAATAATATCAAGTACACGCTGGACCTCCAAAGCCCTAAAGATGAATGAGTATGAGATGCAGAAAAGACAGGAAGGTGACGGAGTCTTTCTCAAGGTCGTGGCGTGCATTGCGTAACGTACGCGCAGAGGCTCGAGCAGATAAAAAGCCCCGCGCGCAGATGCCTGAGTGCTAGTGGAGAGAGCGCCAGCCGCCATGGGAGCTCTGATCGCGCGCCTGCCCTTGCTGCTGCTCGCCCTGGGGCTGTGGCTCCCAGCGGCCACACAGGCGGCGCGCATCCTGGGCATCTTCCCCACGCCCTCCATCAGCCACCAGCTGCCCTACCAGGTAAGGCACGCCTTCCTTTATTCGCTAGCTACCTTTAGGTAAGGCACGCACGCCCCCCATCAGCCTCCAGCAGCCCTACCAGATAAGGCACGCTCTCCTTCAGTCACTAGGTGCCTTTTAGAAAAGGCATGCACGCCCTCCATCAGCCTCCAGCTGCCCTACCAGGTGAGGCACGCCTTCCTTAACTCATTAGCTCCCTTTTAAGAAAGGCACGCCGGCCAGCCATCAGCCACCAGCTGCCCTACTAGGTGAGGCACGCCTTCCTTCATTCGCTAGCTACCTTTAGGTAAGGCACGCACGCCCTCCATCAACCTCCATCCGCACTGAAGGCACATGCTCTCTGCCAGAAGTTGCACAATTATATAAGGCGTACGCCTACAATGAATTTTATTTTCTCGTTCTTACTTCGGCAGATGTTAAAGCGCGCTGGAAAAAGGCGAATTTACGACAGAAAACGGTTCCCATTTCCGGGCCCTGGGAACGAAAAAGGGGATAAATCATGTTGCAATATGTATTATTAAATACTTCCCACAACACGTTGTGCAATCAGAATTCGTGTTTTGTGGGTTCTTGTTACCGTAAAAATTGATACCGTAAAACTGTAAAAAAAAACACAGAAGATAGCGGCAAAAACTGTCTAGCCGATTTTCTCCAAAATTGACATTTCACAATCAATTTAAAGGAACTCAAGGCCTTTAGAGTGAAACGGATATTTTGATTTTGAGAAGTACGTTATTAATACAAGACGCCAAAATACGAGCGTTAAACTGCTTGTGCTACAAAATGGCGTAGTCTGTTATATTTTATAGTTTTCTAATATCTTTAATCTGAGCAAGATTTTCGTTTCGACTCTCTTTCCAGCTGGAATCTATTGCCCCCTAAAGATATTTTTTTTACATTTACTCCATTTTTCGGTTCCCAAATGGTAGAACTAATATATGAATACTATAGAAGAGGAAAACCTGGTCCTAATAATGCTAAGCATTTCTTTAAATTTATTCCTCTTATAGACAAAAAGTCGCGTACAGAAATTACGTATTCCTAATTTTCGTTGCATTCCCTTAATTTTCGAAAGTTGCAAAAGTTCAACAGTTTTTCGGCGTATTTCTGCAACTTTAAAGTGAAGAGAGAACTTAATGAAGTGTGATCTTAAAAAGCCGATGTTCAAATTAAGTCATATTCAATATTTCAAAAATATGTGTAGTTTTTGCGTGGTCTAAAGCCAATTTAAAAAATTTTAAAACATTTAATTCTAAAAAACCATTTTTATTTTCCTATTATTTTCTCTTTATGTGTATTAGTGGACGGTAAAACATTGATGGAAACATCATTTCCAGGGAATTCTCTATAATTGCAATTTTCGAAATTTGCAAACATTTCCGAAAAGTTTCCAAATTACAGTATTGAAGAAGATTATTTGTAAGAATGCTGGGTAGTTAAAGTTTTGAAACAAATTGTCCCTCTGAAAACTACTGTAGCCTACACATGTGGTAATATTGGCCGGTTCATTTCTTCACAGAACAAAACAAGATGCTCATTGTGTGAATCAACAGCAATGTAAAAATTAAATACTATGTTTCACCACATGGTACATGTTTACATTGTTTTACATCAAGAAGAGAGTTACATCTAATAGTTATTTTCATATTAAGTGTGTAAAGTTTCCGTTTCTTTCATGGTCAAGATCGAGATTTTTTGCCGAGGTCGTAAGTTTTCTGTGATTAAATAGGTGATTAGAGAAGTATTTTAAAACCATGCAAAAAATACTTTTTTCACAGTAACAAGACTTGGCAACAATCTTTTTACTGGGTGTTTAAAAAAATGAACTTTTACGAACGGTTAGCGATGTGCAGAAGATGCCTTTTTAGAGAAAAAAATGGCATGGTAGAAAAAATAATGTGATGTTCATCAGTTTTCCATCGTATTGTTGCGAGTTTTTCTCACTCAAGTATTATAGAGTATCTTACATCAACACCGTTGAAAGGCAGATATGCCAAGCAAGAAGAAATTAAAATTTTCAAAAAGTATTATAGATTGTTGAAGTGGTGTTGTTTATAATTTGTTTATTAAATAATAATTATTTTAAGTGTATTATGTACTATGAAATATTCAGTTTAATATGTCTGATAGGCGACTACACGTAGAATTATGTCCTAAGTGCTAATGTTGCGTTTTCGTAGTGTCTTTGTAAGGTAATGAGGAAATGAAATGAAAAAAGTATTTACACATTGATACTTCGTATATGATCAGAAAATACATTTAATAAGATTAAAAAATATTTATTAAATTAAATCATAGGTTAAGACAAAAAGTGCTTAATTATATTACTTAAGAAAGTTCTTTAAATGTACACTACTAAAATTTCCAAGAGTGTTAATTTTTATGAAAATTATAAACTATAAAATAAAATACTATAAAATATAGTAAAAACGTTGAAGAGTCCAATGACACGAGTTAATAACTTAATATTTGCTTGAAAATGTATATGATTTACGTATATGAATTTAATGTAATTTTATACCCTTATCTTTATTGACTTTAAATATACTTAGAGGAGAAAATAATTTCAATCAATTTCAATTCATGCCATGTCAAAGTGTAACATTGATGAGGTTTCTTTTATTAATGACCTTGATTATTACTGTACTATTGCATGCTCCATTACATTTATTAAAATAATACATTTTTTTGTTTTTAAGTTAACTATTTTTAAAGATATCAAATAGAAGCTTTGTAATATTTACATTGATCTGAGTTTTAAATCTCACGGTTTCTCAAAGTTCATTTTATTTACTAATTTATAAATTGTCTATTGTAATTTTTAACAATATGTTCTTTTGATGGTGGTCACTTCCTAGTTGCTGATTTAGCTTCATTTCAAAATATTTTTCTCTCTTGCTTCTGCGCACTACATTCAAATACTAGATGATTCACTTTATGTTCATTTCTTCTGTATTTACATAATGGATTCCTAATGAATCTGAATCGATGATAATATTTCGTGGCGAGTTAGATATGTGTTAATTGTGACGTTGCTTGTTGCAGGCGGTGTTGAAGGCGCTAGCGGCGCGCGGTCACCAGATTACCGTCATCAGCCCTGACCCGCTGAAGGTGAGCGCGAAGCTTTAGTCGGTTGCGTCCTTCTTGCACGTAAACCCCATTTGCTCTTCACCCTCATAAGTCGGTCGGCTATTTCTCGGCATTTTGAATAAAATTTCTATGATATTAGGACCAGTTTGTAATCGAGCAATTCGCTGAAAATTTCATCTTAAGGGAATTAGATAATTAACTTCATATCACATTCATACTCAGGTACTTAATAGCGGGCGAGCGACTCGTTGCATTTTACATGAACACTTCAGTCTCTTAGTTTCTCAGTCTTTTTTCCATTTGTCATTCCAATCATGCCAACAAAACTGATACATCATATACAGAATAGAATGTTTTTAAAGAATAATGACTGGTAAACGATGCAGAAACAGTCGAGAGTCTCTTCAACATTTTTCAAAAATTGCTAAGGAAGGGTACAATGTCATTCAATCAATCTCATCAGATGTGTTCCCAAAATGTTTCGAGCGACAATTTCTAGTTTTCAAGTATTGTTATATAGCTCGCTATTTTCTCGTTGGTAGCTTTATTCGTAAAGAAAAAAAATCATAACTGCAGTAAAAGAGATGGGTAGGATATTTGAATATCAAGAAAACAGTACACTTATTGTTTATAACAAATAAATGAAAAAAACATTAAATAAGCTTTCAAATATGTAAGATTAATGTTCAAGCACATTCGTACTCCAATGTTAGGAGACCCCGAAAAGGCGCCAGTTCGACATATCATTCTGTACAGAAATAATTCAGAAGAAACATTCAGGAGGTGTTACCTAAGTTCGAATGACGTAAAAGATAGGCATGTAGGGATGTACTTCAACCAGTCCCTACTTGAATTTTCAGTGAGAAACTGTTTACGACATCAAAAATTGGTCATATATCTCCAACAATATTCATATTATTTTGAACAAGTTCAATTGTAGTAATTATTATAATGATTATTATAGTAACAACTAAGAATTTCAAACCTCATAATTCATTAGGCATCTAATAGTTAACGTGATCTTTCCAGGAACCAGTGGCCAACTACTCGGATGTAGACCTGTCTTTCAGTTACGAGGACTTTCGCCAAAGCATCACATTCGCAGGCATGGCGGATGTGAACCCTATACGTATGATGAAAATGATGACTCCTACTTTGCTCTCGGTAACCGAGAAGCAGCTTGCTTCCAAACCAATTCAAGATTTTCTCAAGTAAGTGAAATTATTTGTGTGTAAAATATTACGTTTCTTGAAAGGTTATAAAATACGAAAAACGGCGTTATGCACTGGAGGGTTAGGGAAATATCCATTTCGAATTTTTCACTTAATCAATTCACTATGTTAAAAGTCTCCGCACACCCCACCAAACGCGCTGTGTTCTGATTATGCGACCGAGGGGTACCTAAAAGCATTCTTACTGCACCGACATCAGAGATACATTGGAATGAGTAAAGAATGATAGCAGAGATCTAAGGAATTCCGTCAGAAAGATTTCACGGACCTACACGTAACCCGATATACTTACAGCAATACAGCAATATTATTGTACTCGTAACGAACTGCCAGGGAAGCTCTGCACCGCACAGGTACGTCTAAAAGTATCGAAATCCTGAAGTTTACAATACTAACCTGTAGTCAGAGTATTGTCGTCCCAGGACAGGTTCAGAGTTCAGTACGAGAACGATTTTTAGAGAAGCGATAGAATTAGATTATATGATCATGTAATCTACCTTCAAAATGCTTTTGATAAAAAATGTGATGTCGCTGTGAGTGGCGCAGACAACCTAAGAAGCACAGAAAGAAGGCGAAATAGAACATGGTAACGGTTTGTTATGGCAGACAGATGTTTTTTCGTGTCTACCTAATGGATAAAACGCGAACGGATAACTTACATGAGTCTGAAATTCAATAGTGGACGAGAGATGGTCTCGGGTAGTAATCGTAGTTTGTACTCGCAATATTGGCTTCATTCATTGCAAAATTCAAAGCGTTTGGTTTTCAAAAAAGAAGGTACTAGCATGCATTTGTATCAGCATTCCTCCGCAATAGAATGATTCACGTATTATAATATATCGGCATCATCGTTAAATTAGTACAGACCAGTATAAGCTAGACAAAAAAATCGTGGTTCGAAAACACGTGGTTTCTAGAAATGGCTGCTTGAAACCCTGATCTAACATCGATCTCGATCTAACCCCATCGAACATTTTTGGATGAGTTGTCATGCAATAGCAGTTACCTCAACAACTCACAAAAAGCCTTCGACATGCTTACCAATTTCAATCGAATTACACATTCAGTGCATCGGAATTTAGTGCAAAGGCAAATTCAAAGATTAAATGATACTGTTGTAGTGAAAAGAATTCCTATTTGTATTTATTTCTTTGGCAACATGGGAACGAATGTAAATTTGTTGCTGGTAACGTTTGTTAGTACGTACGTAGTATATATAGTTAGTCGAGAGAGTGTGGCCAAACGTTACCAGCAACCAATTTACATTGACATTTACATGAAGGTATATGATTTTCCAGAACCTCATTAATGAATGTCTGATTGCAGATACAATGTCTCAGATGGTTTCGATTTAATATTCTTTGAATGGTTTGGATATGAGGCATATTACGGGCTCATTCACGCCGTTGGATCCCCACCAATAGTTGGTATCGTTTCTCTAGGAGGATCCGCGATCCAGTATAATGCAATTGGCAATCCGAACAACCCAGCAGTTAATCCAGAGGTCTTAGCCGGATATTCAGATCGAATGACATTTTGGCAGCGCTTGGATAACACATACACGAACATGTGGATGACATGGCACTGGGAACGGGTGATGTTTCCAGAAAATGTAAGTAAAATACCTGACCATACTCCGAAGATTAAAAACAATAAAGAGAATTATTTTACCTGAAAAAAATAGTTTCTGATTGAATGAATGAATTTTATTTTAAAACTTTGTAAAAATAGAATAGTTGAATAATACAAATACATAATATACAGAGTACACACATGATACACAATAAAAACTCATGAATATAATATATGCTATATTCTAAACCTTTTTATGTATTTATCACTCACACAGATCTTTTTACCTGTGTCGTCTAATAACCACCACACCTTATTCTGAATATACTACCTTGCCCACATTCTTCCTTCCTCAAAAAGCAGACCTATATCTCAAATAGGTTCCCAATCTTCTTCTTACATCTCATAGATCCTACATTTTCTTCCCCACTCACTATTGAGCCTAATTTCTGATTTAGCGAGAATTTAAATTAGTTATTTATATCAATATGTTATATGATTATTATTATTAATTATTATATTATTAATTCACTATGAAGCACTAATGTCTGATTATGCAACAATATTGCGCGTAGCACCACATCTCTAAAAAAACGTTTTTTCTGAAATTCTGTCAGTATCAGAATTTTCGTAGTTTTGTAATTATTTTTGTAAAATATAATTATTTTATAATTATTTTGCTAATATTTTATTGATTTATCAACCTTAAGACACTTTAAAATAATCACGACGCATGAAAGACATTAAATTACTTCAACTATTAATTAGGCCAGAAGGAGGATGATCTTTACATCTATACACTGTAATTGTAATTACGCTCGTAGGAAAAAATGCTCCGCAAGTACTTTGGACCAACGCCGCCACCCGTGCGAGACACGGCACAAAACCTGAGTCTGCTGATCCTGTGCAACCACTGGAGCACGGACTACC